CTCTTTCTTCCTAGTCTGTCTTCATCTGGAAGCTTAGCTGAAACCTGTCCACCATGGGTGATGCTGCTGGTATTTACAATACTGGTGGCATAGCTCTCAGAATTACAGCAACTCACAAGCCACCACAGTATGACAAACTGACAGAGGAGTGGTCATGTCTTTACAGGTCCCTATTTTGAGAGCTAGTGTCTACATTACCTGTCATAACATCAACAATCAACCCAATACACTGAGGAGACAAACATGTTCCTTGATATGAATCATCTTCATTCCATTTCGAATTTTGAACAATTACTTCCATAAGCAGAAGTCCAGTTCATCAAATTTTAATGGCTTGCACTTGCTCACAATATCAAATATCTTTTTCTTCCTCTGGTCGGGTTCTGTTAATCTCAGCCCTAGCAATCTACCCTAGGTCAACTGGGTACCAGCTGCAAGTTTAGGAGTTCACATACACCTCCCTGCACTTCACACCACTGGTCACTTCACTGTTAACCCTAGCCCCCAGGAGCTAGGTCAGTGCCCTTGGATACATACAACTCCCTAATTAATGTATTTTTGAGCATCACTTTGTCAAAAAACAAATGTTATGTGATTACCTTGATAGTATTAGTTTAACATGGTTGTTGTTGTTGTTGTTAAGTGCCATGGAGTTGGTTCCGACTCATAGCGACCCTGTACAGGGTTTCCGAGGCTGTACATCTTTACGGGAGCAGATTGCCTCATCTTTCTCCCGTGGAGCAACTGGTAGTTTTGAACTGCTGACCTTCTGGTTCGCAGCCCGATTCGTAACCACTACACTACCAGAGCTCCTTTAACATGGTTAAAGAGAGCAAATCCTGGAAGCCGACTACTTGCATAGAAAGCCCTGCCTTGTTTTGTTAGATTTGCACTATCAAAATAGTTTGAAATATTGATAGAAATCTGTATGTGATAACTGTTATATTAATTGTTTTTCTAATACTAGACTGATGGTGAGGTTCTGCTCCCCTACCTTTAAATAATTTTTTGCATATGGTTTATTTATAAAATCATGGTGTATCTTTAAATTTACATATTAAATTTCTAGGAGAATAATAACTTTATAATGCTAATGATTTTCTTTGTGCCATTTAATGATACAGTAAATTTTTATATTCTTTTAATAAGCCTTCAGTTTCTTTATTTTCTAGGAGGAGGATATAGTATCTGCCCAAGGAAAAGAGGAAGCATCAGATAGACGCTTACAGCAGTTACAATCTAGTATAAAACAATTAGAAACAAGGTAAATTATTAAATGCATCTAATTATGTCTGTATACATCTGAAGGTATTTCACATCAGAGTTACAGTTTACAATATTTACTGGAGTTTGTATTTTGTGTTTAACTATAATCACAAGATTTACAATTGGTTAACTGGACATTGTTTCTAAAACTATCCTGTACAGTAAAATTAGCCTAATGCTGTCAGGTTAATTCCAACTCATGGTGCCCCGCATGTGTCTGAGTAAACTGAAACGTAGGGCTCTCTTGGCTGTAATCAGATTGCTAGTTCTTTCTTCCATGGAACTATGTTGGTTTAAACCATCAAGCTTTTGCTGATGGCAAACTGCAGATTGGTATATCTTTAATATATATTTAAAGAACATTAGAGTAATTCTAGACCTTTTACTTAGTATATTAATTAATATACTTTTGAGAAAAGAGTTTTGCAAAATTTAATCCAGTAGTTTTTTGAAAAGGAAGAAAATCCTTGATAGTCATGAATTTAGTACTGCAGCTTAAAGCACAACTTCATTTTCATTCCCCTTAAAGTCACTGCTGATTTCTCAGTAAACTTAGCTGATTCTCAGAAACCTAAAATCCTCCTTTTGCCTTGTTTTGAAGAGTAGGTAAAGCTTTTTAATAGTAGTGTTAAGACAAATTTGATACTGCCTCAGCCCATGTGTTATTCTGTTCTACAAATAACAGAGTTCCAATTGAAATAGACCATTGGAACAGAAAAAAGAAAGAAGGTGAATGTCATTTTTTTTTTTTTTTTAAATAATGAATCATAAGCTGAGGAAGAAGGATTAGCTCTGAAAGCTGAATGTTTTAGATACTTTATGTATTTTGGGCTTCATGTGTCCTGAAAGCCCACCTTGCAAGCTGAAGCTTAGACTTCAGCCTTGTCATTCCTCCAGAATGTAAGTTGATAGTGCTTCCTGCTCTGCAGTACTATTCATTCCTGTGTTCTGGGAAATTCTAATCTCTATTGGATCTTTGAATCCCTTTGCCAATCACTGGTCTTTGCCCCAACAGCTGTCATCAGTGGTTCGATGTTTCTTGACAGGTCATTTGACCTTTTGGGTAAGGTAATTCTTACTTGTTTGTGAAAGTTCCAGTAGTTACTGAATGTTTAGCATCCCTAGCACCAAACTAATTGAAGGAGCTCTGGTAGGTAGCGTAGTGGTTACGAGTTGGACTGCTGGCCTCAAGATCAGCAGTTTGGAACTAGCAGACGTTCCACTGCTCCTGTAAAGATTTACAGCCTCGGAAACTCCGTACAGAGTCGCTATGAGTTGGAACCAACACCGCCACACATTATAACCATCAAAATGTTTCCCACACATTTCAGTGTTGTTACTACCATATTTATGAACCATTAGTTGTAAATGCCTTAGGAACAGGGATTGTGAAAGGATATTGGAATGTAAGAATAACTCCATTGCTTTTTTAATTCTTTCTCTTTGTATGAGCTGATCAGAAGGGCTTAAATTAGATTATGGGCCTTATTTGAGTTTGAGAATATATATGTTGTTATTGTTTGGACCATCAACCAATTCTAATTCATAGCAACAATGCACCACAGAATCAAACACTGCCCAATCCCTCCGCATAACAATTGTTGTTATATTTGAGCCCATTGCTACTGCCACAGTGTCAATTCATCTCACTGGGAGTCTTCCTGTTCTCAGATGATCGTCTACTGTACCAAGCATAATACCTATGGACTGGTACTTCCTGTTAATATATCAGGATTATGAGAGACAAAGCCTTGCCATCCTGACTTCAATGGAACATCTGGCTGTAGTTTTTCCAACACATATTTGTTTGTTCTTCTGGCAGTTCATGATACTTATAAATATATTTTAGTTTGGAAATATATATATGCAGATATATTGTTGTTATTGTTAAGTGCTGTTGAATCGGTTCCAACTCATAACCACCCTGTATGGGGTTTCCAAGGAGTGGATGGTGAGTTTGAACCATCGACCTTGCAGTTCAGACCGACCTTGTGATCCAGTGCTTATCCTACAATGTCATCCTGTATTAAATAAGATCTATAATTTAATTAAATTGTTAGTTAATTAAGGAACTACTTGGTCATATACATACACACAAGAGTAAGTTGAAAAATTATTGCTACTAGGATTCTAGTTCATACGTGTATGGGCTTATTCCAAATAAAATATGTTTAAGCATGTCGGTTCAATCAGTGGATGGCTACAAACAAGTTGTCTCAGTATTACACTTGTCTTAGTATCATTTGGCTGCCTTCCAAAAAAAATAATCCAAACAAAACAATGGCTTCCAAGGAGATCTGCTGGACCAGTTAAAATCAAAGCACAGAGAGGTCAGCTCAGAATGCAATAGCAACTGTTTTGGAGGACTACAAAAAGATGAACCTGATAGATTTAAGGACACAGAATGATCACAAGGACTTCTTAAAAAGAAGTTTTAACAAAATGAGAAATTGGATTGGTGAGAAAACGACCACAGAAGTTGTACCTTGGAATTATTTCCCATCACAACATGCCCCTGCTCATTCTTCCAAGGTGGCAATAGCTGTCCTATGAATATTTGCTTGGGAAACCTTACATATCTACCCTACAGCCCTGGTCTTACTCCTTCAGACTTCTTTTTGTTCCCCAGACTCCAAGAACATTTCAAAAGAACACAATTTGAGTTCCTTAAGGATGCCCAAGCTGCTGTTTGGATACAGTGTAAATCGTAAAGTAAGAATTTTTAGAAAACAGAGAGATGGAACCACCACCTTCAGGAGTATATAAATCTAGATGGATGATATGTCAAAAAACAATAGCTTAACATTTTGATATTTTTGTTAAAAACTATTTATGATGTTGTAGCATACTTTTTGACTTACCCTCATATTTCAAGTAAGACAAAAGTTTTCTTTCATCAGTTACTAATGGTGCTCACAGAACTACCTGGGTGTCCATCTGGAAGAAAGTGAAATCGAACTCCTTTCTTTTGCAACCTTCATCAGTAAATTCCAAATGAATTAAAATTTTGGGATTAAAAAAAAAAAGTCTTTTTTTTTGAGGAAATCTAGTTGATTACGTTAACAGTCTATAGTTGAAAAAAATCATTTTTGCAAAAGCTGAAATCTCAGAAGCTATAAAAACAAATAAAATTTAAAACATGAATATTTTAATGTGGCAAAGATTCCCTAAATAGAGTCAACATACAAAAAAGAAAAAGGTTTACAAAAATTATTTTCAGCTTGGAGCACCGAGCATCAGTATCTTTAGTATCCAAGGAGTTATAAAGGAACAAGGAAAGTAAATAATGTAAGAAAAATTGATAAAGGAAATTTCAAGTAAAATGCTCTGGTATTACAAACACAGTTAAGAAAATGTGCTTGGAATTCTAGTAGTTCGGAGAATGCAAATTTACAATGAATGAGGTTGCAGTCATCTAACCTAAGATGAAGCTTTTGAATTTATCTTGGTATTACAAGAAGAAATTCCACAAAATATTGCTGAATAAGAAAAGCAAATGCAAAAAAGAGTATATACTATGATCTTAATTTTTAGAATAGAAAAGAAGTCTAAATATCTTCTGTGAAGAGATGTGTGTATGTGTATCAGTATATATGTATATGATTATATGAATATGGGAAAAAATATCCAAAGATATATATTAGTATGTTAACATGGAATACCTGGATAGATAGTAGGAAGAGCGTAGGAAAGGAGAACCAAGCAAAAAAGGAAAAGGATAAAAGACCACATGACCACATAAATATGAAGAAAATTAGTTTCTTGTGAATTTGCCTTATAGCATTGCCATTTGACTGTAATACAGTGTGATACTGAAGAAAGAGTAATCTAATTAGAGTCAGAATATCTAGAATAGGTCTTATCTTCGCTACTCCTGAGCCATGTGACTACAATCAGCTGCATAACCTTTGTTATTCATTTTCAATGGGAATAATGAAATCCACTTCACTGAGCTATACTGAGGATCTAATTAGGAAATACATATGTGTGAAAATAACTGATATACTTCCTGACCTAAAGTAAATACTCAGTACATCTCTAATCTCCCTCTTTCTCTTTATAAATGTTGACTTTACAATGTGATTACTGACTTCTAGATTATGTGTGGCAATTCAAGAAGCCAACCAATTAAGAGCAGAGAAAACACATCTGGAAAAACAGAGCAGAGAGTTACAAGCAAAGTGCACTGAATTAGAAAATGAGAAATTTGAAGCAATTGTAAGAGCCAGAAATAGCATACAACTCTTAGAAGAAGCTAATCTTCAAAAAAATCAGGTAAGAAAGCTAGTAAATATGTTTATAAATGATAAAATGCTACACATTCCCTGATATTACCTAATAGAGAAATATAGCTGAAGAATAATGCTATGAAAATAAAATTGTTGTGCTTTCCATTAATAAACTCAAAAGCTAACCCACTGCCACCATGTCCATTCTGACTCAGAGGGACTCTATGTTGGATTTCTGAGGCTGTAAATCTTCAGACATATAATATTCTTGGATAGCAAAGCTTAATGCCATAAAATTATGGTAAAGTGTCAACTCACTACCAAAACTAAAATATAAATAACAGACTTTTAAGTATTTAAATTCCTGTGTAACTAATCTTCAATCTTTGTAGTCTGATATTTTTAAAATATCCAGTATAACACTTTACTGTAACATATCCTATATAATATTCAGTTAATCAGATGAATCTTACTCATTTTCATTTCCTCCTCAGTACCTACATAACTACGTTACTGAAGTAGAAGTTTAATTTTCCTGAACTAAATATAACTATAAAGATTTTTTAATTGTCACCTTCATTTCACAGTCATTTTTGTTTTTCTTTTTTAACTTTCTAGCGATTATAATTCTTGTGCTATCATATAATTTTTATTTACACTGCTTTCATATGAATCATTTATAGAGTTTACAGATTAGATTTATTTTCAGTGTTGCTGTCTCCATTATGAAGAGATCATTAAATCATTAATTAATTGAATGCAAGTAAATATGGGGGCTACAAAGGAAAAACTTTGTTTTATTTATATTATCTTTTTGTTACATGATAGCTTTCTAACAAAGCTCCTAAAAACCAAACAAGCTATATGTTAGATATATAAGATCTAATTAAAGATGAAAAATAAATAATTATCCAAACCCAAATTGTGGAAAGGCTAAGCTGTTCATCATGCCTTTCAGGGAATATTACCATCTGCTATCTGTATACTGTTTCTTACAATGGTTAAATGGCATAGTAGTGGCAATATGCTTGGAAATTGTTCTAAATACCTAATTTATCTGGAAAAAATAAGGACAGCACAATAGTATTTATTTTTGTCCTACAAAGTCTAGTTATATGAGCCCACTTAACATCAGATTACTAAAAAGGAACACTTCATATGGAGCAACATGGAAAAAGAGCAAAGTAGTGACCCTCACTGCCTATCTCCCAAATCTCACCCAAGTCCTAAGTCAGTAGATCCTTAGATCTTGGCTGTGCATGACTGCAGTATTAAGATTTTTCTGGGCACATTGTGTAATTGCTATAGAGTTCTCATCTTCAGTTTCTTCTTCAAAACAGCTTCTGTTCTCACTAATTTACTTACTTAAGCAGTGGATAATTTATTTAGAAACATTATATTTAAAAAGTGGGTAGACATGTATATGCTATGAACATAATGGGATCAGAACAGAGGACCACTTACTATGAAGTGATAAAAAGAGATTCACTCTGTCGGGGACCAGCCTCGACAAACTTATTAGGGGCTCTCAAAGGGGGATGTGGAGTCAACGAAAGGAATCACACGAATCAATGGTTTGTGCTGAATTTTGATTGAAGCTTTTTTTATTTAATTTTTTCAGCTCCTTATACACTGTTAAAATCTCATAGTGTACAATGATCTCATACACAATCAATTTCATCTAAGCATTACACATCCTTGATTATTATCAATTTTTACGTTGTGTCTATACAGTGTTAACAAAGGTATTTTTCTTAAAACAGTTTCCTTGGTCTTTTCATATCCTGTTCGTCTCATCCATCAAGTATTCTTTTTCATTGATACGTAAATGATCTTGTTAAAATACCTTAATCTTTCTGACATCCTAAAATGTCTAGTTAACCTTTAAGAGTTCTTATTCCTTATTCCTATCGCTACTGCCACCTGTTTCTTCTTAACTCTATTTTCTATTAATTCATTAATCACATGTACCTAAACATTATTTTCTATCGTAACTGACAACACAGTTGTTTCTAATGATTGATTAAACAAGAAAAACAAGAACATAAAAAAGCACTTAAAGTTTTGTAGTTAAGAATAAACGGAGGCAGGGCTTGATGGCAGCTAGGGTGAAGGTGTTGTGAAGGTCACCGCCAGCAATAACTCAGAATTCCAGGCGGAAAGGAGGCAGGACAGAGCTCCAAGACTCGGACCCACAGACATAGGAATAGTTTAAAGATTTGAGGGCTAGTAGCCTGTGGGATTTGGAGCTGAGGTGGGAAATCGCGTACTTTTGGATCTGCCGGCCAGGATCGGAGGCCTGAGCCCACACCCTGGGCAAGTCCAAGCAGCAGGACGAAATCGGGGCCGCAGAGAGGGCCACAGCGATGCCGTGGAAACATGCCGCAGGAACCTTGGAAAGTGTACTTTGCCAATTTTGTGTGGTTCCGATTTTGTTTTCTTCTTTGGTGTTGGGTAATAGGTGTGCTCACGGTTTGCCCATCTACAGTCGGGTGGTTAGAGGTGGGGGCTTGGCCGAGTGGCCAGGACCCACCCTCACCGCTGACGGTTTCCTCTGCCAGGAACACACACACTCAGCCCAAGCTGAGATGCAGATTTGGTCATCCCTTTTTAAACTGGGTTGAGAGGGGTCCTGGCGTAGTGTAGTGGGTTGAGGCACCACACTGCAAATTCCTTTGAGACGGGGCTTGATGGCGGCTAGGGTGAAGGTGTTGTGAAGGTAGCCGCCAGCAATAACTCAGAATTCCAGGCAGAAAGGAGGCAGTACTGAGCTACAAGACTAGGACCAACAGACATAGGAATACTTTAAAGATTTGAAGTCTTAGAGCCTGTGTGATTTGGAGCTGAGGCGGGAAATTGCGTACTTTTGGATCTGCCGGCCAGGCTTGGAGGCCTGAGTCCACATCCTGGGAGAGTCCAAGCGGCAGGAAGAAATCGGGGCCGCAGAGACGCCACGGAAACACGCTGCGGGAACCTTGGAAAGTATACTTTGCCGATTTTGTGTGGTTCCGATTTTTTTTTTCCTTTGGTGTTGGTTAATAGGTGCGCTCACGGTTTGCCCACTTACAGTCAGGTGAATAAAGGTGGGGGCTTAGCCGAATGGCCAAGACCCTGCCTCACCACTGGCGGTTTCCTCTGCCAGGAACTCACACACTCAGCCCAAGTTGAGACGCGGATTTGGTCAGCCTTTTTACAC